TTAGTTATTTCAGGTACTGGGGAACTTATTTGTATACAGTTTGGGAGATGAAACAGCTATAACAAATAATAAATAAACATAAGACATCATAATCGGCCCTATTCTTTTCTCTATATGAACATGTAGAGTGCCTGCTGGTGCCTATGAATACGACAGTATAAGTACTCTGTAAGCTTTACAGTTGGGTTTCACAATAGGCTTTCCAGAGAAGTCAGTTAAGACCAGAGGAAGCCAACACTGTTTTGTTTTGATATAGCTGCTAAGCCTTTGGCACCTAAATAGTAGAAAGAATTCATCTCAAGAACAGGAAAAACCAATCCTATCCTAACCCCATCATCAGCCATCATGGATGGCAAACTCCTTTTTCTACATGTTCCAGTTAGAAACGACTCCAAGTAGACTGCCTTGTTTCAAGTCAGAATCTCAAATCTGTCTTTTATTTCTTTTCTTATGAATTCTATAGGTGACCAGGTAGATGCAGAGATGAGGTTTTGGAATTATTGATGAGGTCTGGTCCTGGAACAGGACCACTGAAAACATGCATGGCTGGGTGGGAATTTTAGCATGTGCCTCTGCTCCTTCTTGAGGGGTGGGAGTCCCCTGGTATATGAAATTGCCCTCACTTGCTCCTTGACTGGGCACACCCTATATATCATTTGCAGCAGCTCTGATCCTGGAATTCACTCAGGTTCTGGAAGTAATCAGGGGAACTGGAGGTGCCTGTACATGGAACTACAGGGTCTGTACATTTTCTTCTGGTAATATATCTAATTAGGACCAAATGATTATAAAATTTCTAAAGGCCAACAACATTTTCCTCATAAAATTTTTAAACATTTACAACCACAATATTCAGCAACATGATTGAATTTTTTCAAGTTTTTATATTGTTCTATTCCAAAACTTGTATTTATAAGACTTAAGTATTTCATGAATTTGCAAATTCCTACATTCTATGGATTTCCTGGAGAAAGTCAAGAAAACAGCCATTATGCAAAAAAGTATTCTAAGTCCAGTGTGAAGCCTGTCTTTCATGTCTTGAATATATTATGTGGTGGGACTGAGACATAGACGCTGAGCATGTTAAGAAGGTTCACAAAATCTTAAAAGCAAGGACTTCAGGTGATAATTCAACATTGAGGAAATCTTACTCAATCAAGTCACTCTGCAGGCTGGCGTCAAACCCATTGCCTCCTCAGGGCCTAGAGCCTAGGGTCCTATGCTTCTTATGTATCCTGTTTCTTGGAGGCATCTCACTCATGCTACTTTGCTGCATTGTCCTTGGTGGGCAAAGCTATTCCAGACTCACAATGTTTAAAAATTATAATTTTCCCAATAGTTCTGCTTCTCCTCAGTATTTTCTGTTTCAGTGAGTGGCACTACCATCCAGCTATTCAACAAAGCCAGAAAACTGGAAGTCATTCAAAAGTCCTCTTCCTTCTTCACCCCTCCTTCCACATAGAGTAACTGCCAATCCTGCTGATCCCACATCCCGCAAAACTCTTCATTCACCCCCTCTTCATACCTGCACTGGCACTACTGACATCAGATCACTGTCATCTTTAAGTGAACTGTACCAGTTGGGTTTCCCACCAACCCATTCTCCCTCCACATCAAATCAGAAGGAAATTTCCAAAGTGCCTTTTCATTTTTCTTATCATAGAGTCCAAACAAAAACAGCTTCTCCATCTGCTTCCAGCTTCCCTGCCCAGCCTCCTATTCGGTTTATATGCCAGTGATTCAGAATGTCTCTGCTATTCTAGAAGATCATGTGTTCTCATTATCTCTGACTTTCATGCTTACTGTTCCCTCTGTCTGCCGTGACTCCATGGCTATCTGCTACCTGATCTTCATATGAAGTACATGGAAGTCCTCCATAGATGAGGATGAGCATTCACTCCAGGGCCTCCCATAGCAAACCATGCCTGCTTTTCTTGTGATTATTTGGTTAACTGTCTGTTTTTGTCACCTAGAATATAAGCTTTGTCTACATTTATTCATCATTATAACCCAAGCCACCACCACAATATCTAGTCTACAGTGGAAGCTCGTGCTTTGTGAGTCAATGAAGAAGTGTTTTACTTATTTTTCTTTGAAACTGAAGGAACAAGCATAAAATAATGCCATGTAAATTTAAAGTCATTTTTAGCATTTCATTTTTTTAAAAATGGTAATATTTCCCTTAAATTATACTCCCCATTTCTTACTATGTTTCTTACTTTTCTAGGGGTATTTTGTTCAGGTTTGCTTTACAGAGTAGTCATAATGGATACTTGTTGGGATACCTACACAATCCACAATTCAACTGCTGCTTTTTCTAGAAATAGCTTTGTCTCAGAGTCTATCAAATTCCCTCCCCCAGGACTTGGGACTGAGATAAATTATAGATAGTCTCTTTAAAGTGGGCATAAATGCAGCTTGTAAGCTCTCTAGCTCTGAAGCTATAATTTCAAATACACAAGCAACTTTCAGGAAATGTGAAATGGTGATGAAAAATTAAATATTTTCCAATGAGTCTTTCTCCTTTTCCCCAGCTGAGACCACAGCCTATGGTATCATCTCCAAGTATCATCATGGTAACAATCCCACGGGCGTAACCTGGGGAGAAGAGCTGAGGGTTATTTTGCCACCTTTGTAAAGAATAAATGAAATGTCAAGGCTTAGAATAATAGGTTCTTGCCGAATGAGAAAAGTGTGTACCTGGCTGCTACAGACGTGGAAGCAGACTCACAAAGACTCTGGAGCAGTGTTTCTCAAAGTAGCGTGCCAGGCAAAACTCAAATCCCTGAGCCCCATCCCAGATTTGGCAAGTCAGAGTATCCAAAGGAATGTCATGCCATCAGCCTCTATGAACAGGCTCAATCGGTACCTGCCTGCTGTTTCAGAACCACCTGTCTAACAGACTTTTCCCTGAAACTCATCACAGGGTTAGTGTGAAGACCAGCAGCATCATGTCTCTTTACAAGCATAGACATACTTAAGAGGTATCAATTACTGACATTCAAGTTATTTTACCTTCTATTCCCTGTCCTACTCCTTTTTTTCTTGTTTTTATCCCAAAGAGATTATTACTCAACAGAAAACTTGTTTGGTGTTGGCTCATTTGGTCTTTATTTAGCCTTTTAAGGAAGTGATGGACTGGCTATTTGATAGATACATCCTTTACTTCCTTGCCTTGTGGAAGGTACAGCCATTCTAAATGTCAAGGTCCCTGGTATTAAGGTGGGTAAAGGAAGCCTCTGACAACCATAATGAAGAGCAATAACTTACCAAATTAGTTGTTTATCTAAAATTGCAGTCCAGAGGTTGAATTTCATTAATCACCTTGATATATTTTGGGTAGGAGTAACACAAGGGATCTAGATTTTTTTAATTATTTAAAATTAGAATGCGTTATGCAAGAGACCGTCTCCTCCCCCAGGAAACCCTTACTAACTATCATTGACTAAACTAGCCTAATATGACTTAAGAAAATAAATTTAGCTAAATGCTCTTCAAATTGCCAAAGGTAGAATGCATTACATATAACACAATGCCAAATCCTTTCTGAGCCCAGCGTAACATCTATGTTAGTGTTGTGAGAAATTTTTGGCAAATTTGTAAAAATATGTTGTTATCCTTTTTACTTAATCCCAGAAGAGTGAAGAAATCCCAAGGATTGAAATTAGTGGTGTATATTTAGGCAGTCAGCTTATTGGACTGCTGCCCCAAACCAGAGAGAGCTGTACATATGGAAAATTCCCAGTAAGGGGAGGGGCTGGGGGAAAGAGACAAGGTTTTAATAAATAGTCAAAGCTGTGTGTTAACTATTAATGATTTCTAAGCATTTATTGAAACCATCTTAAAATAACTAACATAAAAGTGAAATATGAACCATAAAACCAAGAAGTCTAATGGGCTCTGCTAAAAACTCTTATTATTGAAATAATCCTTTAAGACAAATCCATATTTTCATATGGCATGCACAAAACATGAATTATCTGCACTTTATGGATTTCCATGTAACCTCAATATGAACTAGGTAATCATGAATAGTTTATGATTCCTACCATGAACAATTTTTTTCTCTACTTTAAAATGATCTTTGGAAAATCCCAGAGTATGGTCGGAAAATATTTATGCTCTTAAATCATGAGCTTTATGACACAAAATGTTGAAGGTCATGCCTTGATTAACAGGAACTATGAGCTTAGAGGGAATCATAGGTTGAAATTATTGCTCTAGAAAGGTGTGTGATGCACGCTGTCTTTGTCAATGGAGACCTCATTACTGTGGGAAAGATGGGTTGAAAATTAACAAGCTTATGTCCAATGCAGCTTTTTTTTTTTTTTTTCATTTTTCTTTTATTATTCATATGTGCATACAAGGCTTGGTTTATTTCTCCCCCCTGCCCCTACCCCCTCCCTTACCACCCACTCCACCCCCTCCCGCTCCCCCCCTCAATACCCAGCAGAAACTATTTTGCCCTTATCTCTAATTTTGTTGTAGAGAGAGTATAAGCAATAATAGGAAGGAACAAGGGGTTTTGCTGGTTGAGATAAGAATAGCTATACAGGGCATTGACTCACATTGATTTCCTGTGCATGGGTGTTACCTTCTAGGTTAATTCTTTTTAATCTAACCTTTTCTCTAGTTCCTGGTCCCCTTTTCCTATTGGCCTCAGTTGCTTTAAGGTATCTGCTTTAGTTTCTCTGCATTAAGGGCAACAAATGCTAGCTAGTTTTTTAGGTGTCTTACCTATCCAATGCAGCTTTTTAAGACATCTGCCTTTCCAACATTATCTGTTGACCAGAAAGGGAGAATTTGTTTTGTCTTCCTTCAAATGCTCGTGAAAGTCACTTTGGAATAATACAAAAAAAAATTTAAAAAGCCCTGTACCATGTTAAACTTCACCTTTTTTTGTGTGTGTGAGAGAGAAGTGCTTACGCATGATGCATGTTCCAGAGAATGGACTCTTGCCAAGAAGCAAGCTCTCACATGGGAAAGAAAGAAAATTTTACCTGGGTAATCATTCTTGTCTACATCTGCATCTCCTCTTAAAGAAAAGCCAAATCCAGAAGGGACAGTCTGTGAGGTCCACACTCCCTGCAGAACTTGGGAAGGTTTTCTGTGTAAGCCATTCTGGTCCCCATTGTAAATGAGCACTTTGCCTCTTTGATCCTTGCCTGCAAAGGGCACACCAATGGCGATGTCTACAAACAGAGACATAGAAACAGATTTGGAATTGAAGGAGAAGATTTTAGAAATTGTTAAGTATAATCAAAGAACAATATCCCAAAGTGCAATGGGCTTGTTATGTTTTCCTTGAGGATGCTGGAGGACTGCAGTGATCGAGAATTACTTATTGCCTTCTATTCATCTGATAAGTTTGGCTGAGTTGTACTATGTGCTGAATGTAGTAGGTACAACAGTGACAAAATCATTGTGTTAAGACAGTTTGTGAACTGAGTGTGGTGGTGCAGGCCTGTAATTCCAGCTACTAGGAGGCAGAGACAGGAGGATTACATTCCACGCCAATCTGGGCAAAGTCAGTGTAAGACTCTAGCTCAAAACCAAACTAAAAACAAAAGAACTTGGGGTATAGCTCAAGTGGTAGAGTTCTTGCCTAACGTGTGCAAGGCCCTGGCTACAATCCCCAGTGTTGTGTAAAACAAACAAAAAACAACAGAAAGAAAGAAAAGTTGTGTTCTGGTGAAGGTAATAGACAATTCAATAAAAGAGAAAATGAAGGAAATATCAGAATCAATAAATTCTTTGTGGAGAATTGTAAAAATACTGATATGATGGAGAGTGGGGGGATTGTTGTAGGTCAGGTGGTCAGACATAGGTGGGTGGCATTGAAACTGAAATCTAGGGACAACAATGAACCAACCACATGAAAATTAGAGGGCAGAATGTTATATAAGTAGAAGAAATCACTGAACAAAGGTGGAAAGAAGCCAGCTGATTTGAGGAGCAGCCAGAGGAGAACCTACATGGGAACTCAGTGAGTGAAGGGGAGGGACAGGTCAGATCATAGGTCACAGGGCTGGGTGGACCAGGTGAAGTATTTTGTGGGTACTTTAAAAAAACCTAATTCACAAACATTGTGTCATCTAATGGTCACCTACTTCTATGAGTAGAAAAGACCTATTTTATAGTTGAGAAACCCAGAGACAGTCCACTCAAAGGTACCATTACTGACTCCCACTCGAATTTACCATTGGCCTTCCACCTGTTTGGGTCATCAGGGTTATTTTGAACAATAAACATAAGCACTTAGTTGTATTTAAAGCAGAATTCCCCAAACACTATAATGTAAGAGTCCATAGCAGTGGGCGCTCTCATTTGTCTTTGTTTCTAGGTATGTGTGGATAAACTGATAAATTTGGACTTACTTTTCATCCACAATTACATTATAATGAAGATTATAAATACACTTTTGTTTTGGTAGTTGGAATAAATGTTGTAGAAAATAAGATATCGCTGTGGGGTGGTGGGAAGGGACACTTTCTTCACTCCTTCCCAGTCAGGGACTTTATATCTGTCCCCTTGCTCAGCGAATTTGGCATTATTTTGCCTGCAAAAGGCTCAGAGAATTTAATATCCTTTTAATATGGTTAAAAATGCTTCTCTTATTTCTTAAAAGCACCATAAAAGGTTTAAGAGAAAAGACAAAAGAAGAGGATATAAAGGAAAAAAGCAACTTTGATAATTTAGCGTTATTTACTTCACTTGGGTATGAAGGAATAGGACAGCCTGGGAGAGTAGCAAGTCACTTAAAGGGAAACTTGCCTTTTTAAAAATTCTCCTGGAAATAGGTATTTGATGTGGACTTATGTATTTATGGTATTCTTAAACATTATTATTAATTACTGAAAACCTTTATTTTCAAAGAAATCATAAGAATACAGTAACACTTGCCAAAAGTACCGAAAATATTGACCTGGTGTGAACACTTCTTAATTACTTTGATACAGCAAATTCCTGTTACATCCTCAACTTTAAGGAAGAAATGGCGAAGTACGATGGTGCACACTCCCAGAACTTGGGAGGCTGAGGCAGGAGGACTATGAATTTGAGGTCAGCCTGAAACATATAGTGAAACCCTGACTCAACTCCCCCCACCAAAGAAGATGAAATGCTGTAGCTTAATTTTTCAAGATACTGAAAATGTATGCGAAATTTTGTGTGAACATGTATGCTTTTCTGAGATGTTATTTATAAGGCATTCATGAATTCCTAACTTTAAGAGCCATAAGCTTATACTAAGAAATCAACACTACTTTTATTGGAAACATTGAAATTGCCTTTAAGCTGAAGTTTACAGACCAAAATCAACTTAACCTAACAGCTTATATGTAACCCATATGGGTTAATCTCAAAGCAATATACTTGCTAATTCATTGACGTGTGTTTATTTGTCTTGAATCTATAGACACAGACAGTTCTCTTGTTTCCTTCAAATCACCATTAAGAGTTGATTTAGGTCACCCTAAATCAAACATGAAAAAATTTCTATGTAACATCTCCATTAATCAAAAACACATAAATTTAAAGTTTCCTTGAGCCATTTCATAGTTCATGAAAAGCACCCCCCACTCCACTGGGAATGTGTTAAAAAGTTCATCATTTCCTTCATGCAGTGTATATGAAATTATGATGCTAACAACTTCCACATGTGGCTCAAATTACCATTGTATCCATCTTGGTTCAGGTCCCCTAAGTGCGCCACGGCAGTGCCAAATCTTCCAAAAGTCTCAGAGCCTGTGAGGACCTGTGGGTCTTGGAAGAGGAGGGAGCTCACTTGCAAATACAGGTAGACTTGCCCTACTTCCCTAGGGTTACTTTCAAATTCACGTTCCATAAAGAGAGGTGCCCCAATCAATATGTCATCCATTCTGTAGAAAACAAAGAGAGCAATCAGCAACCCAGCAAACCTGAGATTCTCTTTGGATGATTTGCAGTCAACTAGATTAGTACATTTCCATTGCTATTTTTCCTTTTCCAAGGACCATGTTTTCAATCATCAGATTTCTTTCCTTGTTTTGTTTTGTCTATGAAACAGAATGCTATAAGAAAATAAGAGTTGTTAAATTATCATGTGAAACTTTTTTAGCTATGTTAAGAATGACTACTTTAAGAAACCACAGATATTTCACCCTTTTCAGCTTTTTAGTGAATTTCTAGAAGCTGTTGTTACACAAGGAAAACTTATCAAAAGGGACTAAATAGCTTTTTTTCTAAAAGGAGGTTAGAGCTTGTCTACAATTTATATAACAATACACTAAGTTATGCAGTTTTCTCACAGTATTAAAGTTTTAAATGAATTTTGTCCTTCCCATCCTTTTGCTACTTCTAATTAAATAAAAGAGGAGAGAGGTAAATAATGTATTTCCATCCCAGACGAAAATTTATAGTCAATCTTTCTAAGATTCTATCAGAACACTAACAGATGGCTTTTAAGATTTGAAAAATGTGAGGAACAAACACTTAAATTATTTAGAGATGAAGAGAAAACCACCAGAAGAATAAGAAACAAGGTAGCTAAAGGCATTTTCTTCACAGAATCAGTGTGAGAAGGAATAGAACAGGAAGCATCACTTTTATTTGCCATGAGCCTTCTAAATGATTTGATTTTCATTTTAACAAACTTAATAAAAGTCACAGCAACCAAATGTATAATTTGATCTCTACTAATTACTTGTACTAAAGTTTTTCTGAAGATAGCTCCATCTTGGCAGATGTAATAATATGAAAGACCTCTTGATGTCAAAATACAAATTTGCATTTGACTTTTATGTCTAAGTAGATTAGGTAATGCTGAAGTTTTGCCAAATAATCTAATGACTAAAATATTATCATTTGCATTTATGTGCCATTAGCATAGTGCTACTGATAGTATACTACCTATATTGCAAATATATTAATACTATATAATGTGTAATAAGATTAAGTTTTTATTAATAAGTTAATATAAATATATAATCAATATTTTTTCATTCATATAGTATGTATGAGTGTTTTTCAGAGTTGTGGGAAGGGGGATGGATGACTATGAGGACCATGGGAATTTTAGGGCAGTGGAAATATTCTGTGTGATACTGTAATGGTGGATACATGTTGGTATGCATTTGGCAAGACTCACAAGACCACATAACACAAAGAAAGAACTTTAACGTGAACTATGCTCTTTCGTTGATACTGTGTTAATATAGGTTCATCATTTGTAATGAAAGGACCACACCATACAAGATGTCAATAACGGGAAGCTGAAGGAGGAGAAGTGAGGGAGTATATGGAAACTCTCTATATTTACTGCTCAATATTTTTGCAAAACTAAAACTTCTCTAAAATGAAACCTATCATAATAGTGAAAAGGGTCATAGAAAAGGCAAGTTCAGTCCAGATAAAATGAAAAAAGCATGAATGTTGGCATTATGCTAGTTTAGATTCAAACACAGTTCTTCTTGTAACTAGGTGTGTCATATTTAATAAGTAATACTCTAAATGTGGATTTATCTCTCTTCTCTCTCTCTCTCCCTCTCTCTCTCTCTCTCTCTCTCTCACACACACACACACACACACTACACAGTAGCATTTAATAAATGATAGGTATTATGACTGTACTGGGCAGGCTGCTGAAGGGAACACACAGTATTTTTACATGTAAACTAAAGAGTTCCTGTTAAAAAAGCAAAATGTATTTATTTGCCTTCTCTCCCCTTGTTGGAGCCAGAAACAATGTGAAAAGTAACTCTGGAGTGTAGAGCTACTTCTGGAATAGGCTCTTACTTATCTGTCCCAGCAGTAGACATAACATATGGAAAATCATCTTGAGTCATTTCCAATTGACCAAACTGTAACATGGAAGTGGGAGGGAGGCTGTGGCATGGATCCGAGGAATGGCTGTTATTTTGGTCTCAGATTCCAAAATATAAGCTGGATTGCTAAATTTAGATAAAACATTTTCCTTGAAATGTTCTAAATGCATTTGAGTTTTTTTAAGCCAGTGTTGCTTGTCATCAGGCTGTGCCATGCCCCTGGCTCAGAGGAGAGCACAGATTTGTGCCCTTCCAGCCCCTGGTCTGAGGCTGGGGGAACCTGGATTGCCTCTATTTTGGCCAGATTATTATTACCATGAGCATGCAGGGGCATTTGTTGACTACCTTGTTGTATGTGTAGCTGCCTCCTAGCCTCAAAGTAAAACATCCAAAGTTACTGGCTCTCTGTTTCAGACATTTAATGGGGCCATTTTTCCATTCTACTGAGAAGGAATGAACCCATGTAATTGGTCCCTGAGGCTGTGAATGTGCACAGGACTAACAATTGCTCAAAACATCTCAGTGTGAGCACTGAATTCCACAAATAGGAAATTATTAGACCAATCATTGTGAAAGACTAGCACATCCTTAGTTCTAGAAGTAATAGGACAGCATTGATTTATTTTCTTAGAAATATATTTCCCTGGATACTTAAGTATCAGTCTTATAAAATGTTCTACACCCCAAAATGAGAATGAAACATTTGTTTTCAATTTATAATTATGCTCTCATAGAATTAAGAGACAATAACTGACTCAGATTCAATTGGTACAATGTGCCTCATAGAATATTTTGTACTTAGTGTAAATATTATTTTATATTAGCAATGTCACTTAATCATGGTATATAATATTGTTTGGGCTGGTGTTTTAAAATCTTAAGTTTGCAAACAATTAGTGGATTATGAAATCAATTTAATGGTTCTGAACCAACAGATCTGTTGGTACAATAATAGAAAATAAACCAAATGCATTATATATAATAAGAATTGTTCTGTAAAGCTTTTGTTTCAGTGGGGTGTGTGTGTGTGTGTGTGTGCGCACGCGTGTGTGATTATAATGTCAAGGGAATTCTTTATCATGGACCTTAAGCAAAAATTGGTTGGGAAACGAGTGCTGGAGACTCTGTGTGCTATTAAACTATTTCGAAATTTACCTAATCCTTTTTTGAATATGTTCAATTAGGATTCCAATGTTTCAGGGGAAGAGGCGAGACTAGGTTTTGAACTCAGGGCTTTGTGCTCACAAAGGAATGTACTCAATTTAGGCTTAAAATTTTAAAACATTTGTTAGTAAAGATGGCTTTTGCTGACTTTCTAATAAGTAGTTGCATATAATAGGCTGAGTGCCATCCTAAAACTATGTATATGTATATAGATAGATGATAGGTAGGTAGATAAATAGATAGATTTTTACATACTTATACATAGACAAGGATTTTAAAATATTTTTAGTCTCAAAAATGACAGTGATAGGGAAATAATAGTAATGATATGGTTTTGCTGAAAACCATTTTCCCTGTTTGGGTCTGTTGGTGGTTTGGATGAGATCTAAGTTATCATTTAAAGGTATTTCATAAAAGTAGGATGCATGCATAATCTTCATTTTATCTGAAAGGTCAAATGTTTAATGTATAGTTTTTACTAAATGTGTAAAATTCACAAAGGCTTAGTTTTTGTCTCCTTTTATGTTAAAATCCACTCTTAGAATGTGAAACAGTGTCATTTGAGACAGAACTTTACAAATATTTCCCTCAAAAACAAAGCATAGATATATTGATAGTGTGAGAGAACCACAATGAGACCATTCAACATGAAGAGTGAATCCAAGTTTTCTGCAGTCAAGTGGAACTGATTTAACTCGTAAACGTTCCTGTCTCTTGTTTCACAGCAGTACATTTTGCATGCTAATATTCATCACTAATATTCAGAATATAGTTATTTATCAAAAGAATGTAGATTAGCAGACTGTGTAATAGCGTTGATACGTGATCTGTTTAAGATAGAGAAGAACAAATACAACTTAACCAATTATATTACAGAAATTGATTTTTTTTAGCTTACAACCTTTTTATGTTTTCGTGTTCTAGATTTTTCTGGCTAATTCAGTTGTAAGGATCTACCCTATAAGGATGAACATATTTAGATTAAATCCTGCATAAAAAGCCATACTCACTGCTTTCCTTTTATTGTTGTATTGGGTGGGATACATTGTGGCATTTACAAAAGTTCTTACAATATATCAAATATATCATACTTGAATTCACCCCTCCATCACTCTCTTTTATCTTGCCTCCCGCTATTCCTGGAATAGTTTCAGCAGGTTATCATTTTTGCATTTATATACATGTATACACATTAAGCTGATTCTTTTCAAAGAGACTTTTCTCTAAATTATTCTCAAGTTAACTAACTACTAAGACTCTATTTAAATTTATCTCTTTGAACCTGCAGAGGTTAGAAACAATAGGGATGTTGAAAATGTCCAATGGATTAAATTGTAATTCTGTGAATTTTTGAGATAGTATAAATACTATATGGTTAAAAACATTTAAGAAAGAAAAACAGATTTCCTTAAGCAATAGCATGAAAAATACTATCTCCATTTGTGGTTAGCAAGTTTGTCCAGAAATTTCTGACAATTGTCAGAGTTTATAGCACTGGCTGCTTTATGACAACTAAACTGAAGTTAATTTTCCATTTGCTTATACTATGCTTTCAAAACCATCAAGGGCTTGGATAATACCCTCCACTAACCAGCATGGACAAAAATGTCTGGTCTAAACTTTTAGAGCCCACTTATAATGCTAGGAGATTTTGCTTAAAAATAGTGGGGGTAAGGGTAGGGACGTGGTTCAAGTGGTAGAATACTTGCCTGGTAAGCATGTGGCCCTGAGTTCAAACCCCACTACTGTCTACATATAAGCATGTTGGCAGAGACTTACAAGCCCAGCACTTAAGAGGCTGTGGCCAGAGGATCACGAGAAGACCATTCCCTACTTGGTATCTTCCATGACTCACAGGATGTCTCTTTCTTGAGACAGACTCCTAGTCCATGGCAGAATCTGTTTGGCAATGCATCTAGCCTTGCAATAAATGCAGCGGCCTCTACACTTTCATACTCCAGCTCCATTCGTTACCTCTTTACACATCTTTGCTGTTTCTAGAAAATGCCAGGGGTTCCCACTGCCAGGTGCACTTTTTGCTCTTTGCTTAAGAACATTCCTCCCCTGCATGTGCTCCTGGCTTCTTTCTTCACTCCTTTAGGTCTTTTCTTTACTGTAATCTTATCATTGAGGCCTTCCTCATGTACCAATTTATAACTGCATCCCTTCTAATTCTCCCTCTCTCTCTCTCTCTCTGCCTTCTGTATTTCTTTTTAAATTTTAAGTGATAAACTTAAGTTCATAATGCAGTTTTAGATGCAAAGTAAAATTGAGAAGTATGAAGTTTTCACACTGCCTCTCCTACACAAAGGCTTTTCCCACCACCAGATCTTTACCTACATTCCTACATCATTATCAACCAAGTCCATAGAGTTCATTGCTGGTGCTGTACATTCTACAGAACTTAACAAATGTGCAGTGACAATATCTTATAGAACAGTTTCACTACTCTAAAAGTCCTTTGTGCCCCACCTATTCAAACTCCTTCCTTGCCTAGAACTCCTGGAAAACACTGATCTCCTTATGATTTGCCTTTTCCAAGAAGCCACAAAATTTAAATTATATATTATATAAGCTTTTCAGATTGGCTCCTTTCACTTAGTAATATGCATTTAAGGTTCTTCCATATCTTTATCTGACTTGATGGCTCACTTCTTCCTAGTACTGAATAAAAATTTTCTTGTCTGGATGTACCACATTTTATTTTATTCACCCACCTACTGAAGGACGTTTTGGTTGCTTTCAGCTCTTTTGTTTTTGTTTTTTTCTGCTTATACTTATCACCCTCTGACATACGTTTACTTGACTCATACCTTGCAGTGACTCCCACCTTCTCAACTCTAACATAACTTTCATGAAGTTGGGATTCTCTGCCATGTCCCACCACCTACAACCAGTGCATAGAAGATGTTCAAGAAATATATGTTCAATGAAAGACTAATAAAAAGGGATTTTCCAAAAGTTGATAAATTTATTTTCATTCATATGCTGCAACATAATATATAAAGGTACACTTCGACTCTACAAAGGTCACAGAAAATGTTTATTGAAGATCTATCCAGATCTTAGAATGTAGTAAGGATTCTTCAGATATTTGCTTTGTACAGAAATTTGAGGTCAATGGAACAGAAATACAGTCTATCTTAGTCACCTTTGTACAGTGTTTTGGGCACTGCGAATAATGTCCTTATATAGTAGGGTTGCAAGAGTACTGTTCTATGATTGATCAGTTCAGCTCCACTTAAGGATTTTCTTATCTTTTCCCCTTCCTCCCTCCTTTCCTCCCTCCTTCTTTTCCTTCCCTTCCTCCTTCCTCCCCCTTTCCCTCCTTCCCTCCCCCTTCCCTCCTTCCTTCCTTCCTTTCCTCCCTCTCTTCTTCCTTTTAAACAGTCTCACTAAATTCAATGACCTCAAATACGTGATTCTCCTGCCACAGCCTTCTAAGTGTTAGGATTACAGTCATGCAAAACTACATCTGGCTGAGGGTTTCTTACTTAGTGACTCATTAATTTACTTGTCAGATGCTTCAAGTGAAACAAAGGGGTATTTAATGATAATTTATTTTTGAAGTAATAACTTAAATACAGCCACAATTCAGCCCTGTTGCTTGGTCCAAGCTCAATTTATTACCATAAACTGAAAAATAACATTATTATTTCATCTTCCCCATGGATTTTACTGAGATGTTGGTTAAAGCAATGTCAGGAGGAAAAGTCCATTTATGATTTATGTGCAGTGTTTTATTACTGCAACACATGTTGGGAGAAACCTCTAGGAGCAAAGAGAGATAAAAGGACAAACACCTCCATGGCTATGGATTTTGAATAGTCAAGGATTATTCATTTCATGACATTAAATTAAAACCAAACAAAATAGTTCTTTTTTAGAAATGGCAGATATGGAAAATCTCAGTAAAGACATAAAATAGGATGTCAGAATTCTTTATTAGATGTATCCTCTTGTTCTCAACCCAAAAAGTTAAAAGAAGTGGGCCTCTATCTTGTTGAGGAAGTACAAAGGATGTATTTCATGAAGGAAAAATACGACATATTTATGGATGAACATAACAGACAATGAGTAAGGAAGTTCTTATAAACTTACCCATCATTGTTAATATCTGATACTGCAACAGTATATCCAAAATAAGATGCCATCTGGAAAAGAAAGCCGTAAGGGGACATATTTCATGTTCAAAAAGTCATTTTAGAGTTACATCTTAATTATTCCTGAAAGATTAATCTTATTGTGGTGCATTTTTGCATTTAAATTCATACTCTTGGATATGGTCTGTGTCTTTGAGCCATTTAGTCTCACCCCAGAACCAATGAATAATTTTCTCCTGTACCTCTGTACCAAGAGGTACAGCACCTGCATCAGAACAAGATATGCTTGACAATCAGCCCATTCAATTTGTGGACACAGCCATTAAAATGTGGTCCTTCTAAAACTTCTAATCCTTAATTCCACCTAGTTCTGCCATCTTGAATTCCACAGCATAAAACTAATTGTACCTCCATGTGACGACTCCTATGAAAATATTTTCAGGTGGTTCACCAGCCATCTCCTCTTTCTTAGAGGTACCAAATGGTGGAGCTAAAGAATAGATGCTACTTATGACTACAGTGGCAGGAGTCAAGTAGGATTTATACTTTCTACTTTGGGCTCTGTATTATTGAAGCACAAAAACAATTTTAACTGTGGGTTAATGTACATCTACATATCAATTTACATTGAACTCATAGTTAAGAAAAGCTCTTGAATCATTCTCATGAGTATAAAGCAGTATAACACACTCTCTTTACATTTTTTCTCTGACATTTTTATTTTTAATCTTTATTTTCAGGTTTTTTAGTCTTTTCAGATTTGTCTTGTCAGTTCAGCTTGTAAAGATTGTTGCCATGATTTGCCATTTGCCACTTTAGCTAACTTGGTCTCTTGTCATTTAGTAATTTAATCAACATTCAGTCCTCTAGAAAGGGTGCTCCAAGGAAAGCAGAGACTTTAGCCTATTTTTTCTCTCTTCTCTCTGCAATGACTAAACAACATGTGAACCAAAGTAAGTGCCCAACACCAAATACTCTTTGCAGGAATGAAGAGTTCTCATTGTCATGCAATCAACAAGGGCTTTTCTCTTCTCTCTATTCCAGACACATATGGTGGAATTCTTATCCCTAGATAGTGCTCTGCGGCCTTTGCTCAGAGAAATTTCATCATTTATACATTAAGCTTAAGGTTCAAGATGAGAAAAGTAGGTGGTATTGAGGACAAGAAGTGATTCAAAGACCAAATTTAGCAATGTTTAAAATGCTTCTAATGATAAAAATGCAAAAAAAAAAAAAAAAAAAAGAGAGAGAGAGAGAAACCAGGGCAAAGAAATATTGTTACATTTTCTTTTCTTTCTTTGATTTTTTGTTCTCATCAACACATATTAATTGTACATATTAATGGGGTTCAGTGTGATGTTACCATACCTGCATACACTTTGCACTGATCCAGTCCTCTTAGGAAGAGGTGTTCAAAATTTACAAACTCATCCACCTTCCCATCATCCCACCCTCATTTCTCCACACCTTCCATGAAAGTATCATGAGAGATGGAAAGTTTTGTGGCAATTTCACAGTAATAAGATATACTGAATCCCCAAATTTTGGCAGCAAGTTGTCAAAAGCATTTTCTGCTCATTAAAAAAGCCTGCTGATTAATTTTCTTGGCGTGACTCCCTTTGATGGCAGGCCCACATTCAGTGCTGAAAGAAATGTGGCAAATTTCACTGGGCTATAATACCCAGGAAAACACAAGCCTCTGACAATATTTGGCAAGGGGGTCGGTAGCATCCTCTTTTCAGGCAATTGACCCATTCACAATAGGACTTTAGCTAAGGACAGTGGCTAAGGAAGAATATCTAGTCTGTGGGTGGAGGAGACCAGGGCCAGTAATGTGTCAAGACACCATATAATGCAGGCTTGGGGAGGGTTTCAGTCACAGTGAGGAAGAGCAGCAGTAGTCGAACCCATCTACTTAGGCCAATAGGATGGAGCCTGGGGCACTCTAGAAGGAAGGAGGTACCAAGAGGTACAGCACCTGCATCAGAACAAGATGGTTCTCCCATCCCAGCAGTTGGTAGCATTTTGCTTTTGAGGAACATATCCTCCCTTGCTATGTAATCCTTCTCAGTAGCAAGCAATGAGAGAGTTTATGAGAATTCTGGATCCAACTTTTATCCTAGCCTGCTATTCTGGGATCCTTTCTTTCATAGAGCCCTGACAATACACAAGGAGAAGACAGGAAACCCTACCTGCACACTTTTGGTCTCTTTCCAAGAATTTCTACTTCTAGGTTCTTAGTGAGGTATTTGAGTCATTGCTTTCAATACACACACACACACACACACTGTGCACTGTCAGCAGGAGCATTTGTGCTCCATATTATTAAGGACTTGTAGCTAGCTGATATCACAGAGGCGCTCTGTCATCCCAGCTACTTCTTATCATGCACTGCTGGCCCTACCAGGGGCTGTCACTTATCATTGTAATTACTTAGTCACTTCATTAAGACCCTGAGTCATTCTACCCATGACCTCAATTAACTCCTAATTTTGAATTCCTCATGTAGTGGCCGAGAGATTTTTCTGAGTAGAATGTGGAATTTTCTCTCTGCCATCTCCACTAAGAGGTTTCCTAGAGTGACCACCTTTCTGTCACCTTGAAGGACAGAAACACAAAGCAGGCTGCTAATGTCAGCTACAAAGTGTGCACTGAATTTTGAATGTGATTATATCAAAAAATAACTTGAAATTAGGGAGTTACTGACTAAGGCCATAGGAGAAGCTCCTGTTCTCCCTTTAACCTTTGTAGCTATGTTTTCCTTCCTTGCTTGTGGCCATGACAGCCTTTCTTGTGCTCCCTGGAAATGTCCAGCTGGTTCCTGTTTGAAAGCTTTTGTATGAGCTGCTATTGGTTTTGTATTAGTGTCACCACTTCAGAGCCCATTCACCATCCCATCTAAGAACCCCCTCGCCACCCCACTATGTTATGTAATTCTGTTTTATTTTCTTTGTATCACTGATCACTATGTGAAATTGTCACAGGCAATTATCTGATTGTGAATTAATTGCCCCATCCTGCCCCACCCCCACCCTAATCCCAGTTGCATGAGAGCTGGGATTTCTGTCTGATGCTCTGTTGTATCCAAAGTGTGTAGAACAGTTTCCAGCACAGAGCTGGTGCTCATTAAATATTTCCTAAGTGAATGGGTAAAGGATATGAGCATTAATGTATACAATTAGTGCAGAATGACATTAATTACTTTATATTAAAATGTCTTTACCTGTTCACCAGTGAAATTCTGAATAAAAGTCATATCTGAAGAATTAATGATTGAGACCTGAAATCATAGAAATTAGATAAGCACAATGTTAGACAAAGGATGGAGGTTTTATAAGTTGTAAATTAAATCATTCAACAGTGTTGTGAAGAGTAATAACTGGTTAGCTATATATAAAACAAAAGTGCAAGTCCATAAAAACAATCTAAAACTACCAATTAAACACTTTGTTTGCAGTTGAGTCTAGAATATTTTCCAATAAACTGAATGTTACTAATCTGAAGCGGTGAAATAATAGTTGAATTTAATAACATTGAGAGCAATTAACCTGATGGTCAATTAATTTTCTTAATCAGGATTTTGGGCTAATGCTATTTCTGTTTTTATACTTTTATGAGAACTGATAATTATGGCTCTTTGCAAAAAAAAAAATTTAAAATACTAACCAGCAAAAATGTTCCTTTTGAACCCTCTTACACTGTTGGTGGGAATGTAGACTAGTACAACCACTCTGGAAAAAAATTTGGAGGCTACTTAAAAAGCTGGACATCGATCTACCATTTGATCCAGCAATACCACTCTTGGGGATATACCCAAAAGACTGTTACTACAGAGGCACCTGCACATCCATGTTTATTGCGGCACTATTCACAATAGCCAAGTTATGGAAACAGCCAAGATGCCCCACCACTGACGAATGGATTAAGAAAATGTGGTATCTATACACAATGGAATTTTATGCAGCCATGAAGAAGAACGAAATGTTATCATTCGCTGGTAAATGGATGGAATTGGAGAACATCATTCTGAGTGAGGTTAGCCTGGCTCAAAAAACCAAAAATCGTATGTTCTCCCTCATATGTGGACATTAGATCAAGGGCAAACACAACAATGGGATTGGACTATGAGCACATGATAAAAGCGAGAGCACACAAGGGAGGGGTGAGGATAGGTAAGACACCTAAAAAACTAGCTAGCATTTGTTGCCCTTAATGCAGAGAAACTAAAGCAGATACCTTAAAGCAACTGAGGCCAATAGGAAAAGGGGACCAGGTACTAGAGAAAAGGTTAGATCAAAAAGAATTAACCTAGAAGGTAACACCCACGCACAGGAAATCAATGTGAGTCAATGCCCTGTATAGCTATCTTTATCTCAACCAGCAAAACCCCTTGTTCCTTCCTATTATTGCTTATACTCTCTCTACAACAAAATTAGAGATAAGGGCAAAATAGTTTCTGCTGGGTATTGAGGGGGGGAGCGGGAGGGGGTGGAGTGGGTGGTAAGGGAGGGGGTGGGGGCAGGGGGGAGAAATAAACCAAGCCTTGTATGCACATATGAATAATAAAAGAAAAATGAAAAAAAAAAAGTTCCTTTTAATTCTATTCAGCCAAATCTATAAACATTATGTTTTAAAGCTATTTTAAAAGATAAACATTATTTAATATATGTATTTCTTTTATAATGTCTTTTCTTTTATATATTTGCTAATTTCATGGTAACCAGTTATAAAGAACTTGATTAGTATCCATCTCAAATTGGATGTAAGGGAAATCTGGCTATAACATCTGTCACCGCATTGATCACTAGGGTTGATTCAGCTGATCTGACCGGTTAGGTGGATGTTCCCTTCCTCCCTCACCACTCCGTGTGCATCCCTCCTGAAGCTGCATGCTAAGTAGAAGAGGAAGACCATCCCACATAGAGGAGGACTGTTCTTTAGTCAAGGGTATAAAAGTAGCTGCGTTCCTCTGTTGAAAACTCCAAACAAGCTCTCAAATTAATATCTACCAAGAATCTCATAACACAATCCATTGGAAAATAGGGTCTTTGTTGATGAAATTAGCTAAGGATCCTGACTTGAGATCATCTTAGGTTGGCCAATAGCTCATATCCTAATAAAAAGGGGGAGAGGATGCACATAGAGATAGAGGGATAAAATGAAGATGGAGGCAGAGGTTGGAATGATGTTGACAAAAACCAAGGAACAGCCAGGCACTGGTGAGACCCCATCTCCAAAATAACCAGACCAAAATGGACTGGGAGTGTGGTGCAAGTGGTAGAGCACCTACTTTGCAAGAGGGAAACTCCAGTCTCATCAAAAAAAAAAAAAAAAAAAAAAAGAAGCCTAGAAACACCAGGAGCCACCAGAAGCTGAAAGGGGCAAGGAGAACCCTCCTCTAGTCTATCTGGAGGGAGCTTGACTCTACCCTTGACCTTGACTTCAAACTTCTGGTCTCTAGCATTGTGGGAGAATAAATGTATGTAATTTTAATTTATTTACTTTGCAATAATTTATTATGGTCACCTTAGCAAACTCATATACTACTAAACTACCAATTGAATTTATTATTTCTACTATATAAGGCATTTTAAGGTGTTGGTGATAATAATGGCAGCCTCTACAATAATCCTAGATTTGCATATAGATAGGACTGGCTCCCTGCTGTGAGACGATAGCTCCACAAAACCCCAGGCATATGGATCTAGACAAACCTAGCCTCACTTGTTTTCCTTTCTGCTTTGTAAGCAAACAGAATGCATCAGTAGGAGGAACTCATTATTACAGGAATGTTAAAAAGAGTAAAAAGGTTGTACATTACTTTGTATAAATAAAATACTCTGGAGTGTCTTTCCAATACTCACATATCCAAAATTCTGTGCTCCTCTTGGAACTCCAGCAACCAATTCTGGGGATAAAAATAGTCATTCAGAAAGGAATTGCATATATTTAAAGCAATGTACATAGAAAATGGTAAAGATTGTGCCTTTTAAATGAGTAACCATTGTGTAGAGGGTTAGAAGTTAGAAGTCTAGGTTTTGCATTTACTTTTTCAATGGCTTTTGTTTGTTTATAGACAATAGAAAACAGAAGAACAAAAGTCCTGCTTTGAGACTTTCCAGTTTGCTTACCAGCCTGAATGCATTTCTGCCTCTAGAATATCAGCCTAGCTTCTCAGGTCTGCATGTGATTTATATTTCAAGCTGCTCACTCTGATTGCGAGCTTTTACCTTGGGAGCATCTTTTGTACTGGCATAAAAGTTCAACTCTTGTCACAGGAAAATGCTAAAACAATTTTGATAAGAGCTGGCTTCCTAAGACTATTGGCAGTAACATTGGGGCAACCTGGAAACCAAGGGTATCCTAGGAAGAAAGCATCAATAGTGTAGAAGAAAACTCTAGGAGAAAGGAAACACTGCCCAATGGACAGTGACCTGGCTTTAGATTAATAAAACAATGCCTCACATGTCACCTCAGGTCTATCATATACCTGGCATAAATGACTAGACATAATTTTCCCCAATCATTTGCAATAGTTGGGATAATAGTTGAGAGTTGGGATAACTAATTATCAAAAATCTCTCCAGCTCCCATTTCTATAAATCTCAACTATCTTTTGATTTATTAGGATTTAAAATTTATTGTAATTTTAAGAAACAGGGCATAGAAGAGGTTCTTATTCTATTGGAATTACCTGCCCTCTAATATTGCCCCTAAAGGCATAGCACAAATTCAAGCATTTAATATATCTACTGTGCTGTGCTTCAGGAGAGTTGGGTGCTTTTGGGGTTGGCATTATTAACCAGGAAGATTCGCTTAAGATGAGATGTTGAGCAATTTCAGTAGCAAATTCACTCATTTAGTCAACAAACATTATTGATGACCACTGGATACAGCACTGAGCAAAGCAGACGAAAGTCCTTTTCTCATGGGGCTTATTCTCTCATTAAAAGATGCAAATAAACTGGTATCAGGAGTACCAAAATTGGCATTGGGAAAGAGTTCAATTTATTAGAATAGTCAGGGAAGGCCTTAGTGAGAAGGTAACATTGGAGCAAAGATTGAAAAAAAGGGAGAAAGTGAGTCTATTTAGGAGAAATCTGTTGTAGTTACAGGGAAATTCAAGTGCAAGGCCCTAAGGTAGGAGTATGCTTAGAGTTATTCAAGGAATAGCAAGGAGACCAGAATTTCTTGAATAAAGGAAATAAGAGTTAAAGGAATAAGAGACAGGGTAGGTGGTAGGAAGGCAAGGGTAATAGCGGGGAGGTCAGTTCAGAAGCTATTGCCATTATACAGGTGATAGATTATGGAAGCTTGCGTAGGAGTAGAACTGTGGAGGATGTAAGAAATAGCCCGATTCTGGTTATATTTTGAGGATTTAGTGAGCAGGATTCACTTATGAATTGGATGTGGGGCACTGAAGAAATAGCACATACCAACGCTTTCTTCTAAGCTTTCTGGTTTGGCAATGCCATCAGGTGGCAAGTGGGGAATTGAAGGACATTGAAGGACAGTGCATGTTCTGATGGGAAGGCCAAGCCTGCAGTTCCTAGCATGTTGAATTTGGGATAGCTTCTCAAGTAGAGATGTTGAGTAGAGAGTTGGATCCATTAGCATGGAACTGAGTCTAAGTTGTAGGAGTAAACAAGATTGGATGAGATCACCAGGAGTGAACTGAAGAATCAATCCATGGATTCAGTCCTAAAACACTCCAGTGGGTGAGGGAATGAAAGAGCTGCCAGAGTCAGGGGGATCCAAGTGGAGAAATGAAGAGAACGGAATCTGTTCTGTCCAGTGCTCCTGACAGTCCCAGAAGATGAACAGTGTGGAGGCCTCTGGCTGGCTTGATAAGTCACTGCAATAGAGCAGGTAGGGGATCAGACCAACCTGGGGGAGCTTAAGAGAAGGGAGCTGAGATCTGCCAGCCAGAGAACATAGGCAGAGTGACATTCTTTCAAAGCAGAAAAATACAGATGGTAGCTGGAGGTGAAGGTGGGATAAAAGGATTTTTTTTGAAGATGGGAGGAATAACAGTATGGCTTGTATATTAGTAGGAATGATGCAGGAGAGGGAAAAATTGATGCTGCAAAATAGAAAGGTAAGAATTGCTGGAGTCCTGTCTCTGAGACTAAGAAGACACAGGATATAGCAGAAAGCAGCGGGCTAGCTGGGATGGGATACAGATAGTTTATCTACAGAAACAGGAGGCAAAGTGAAGCATGTTCTTGAAGAAATAAGATGAAGTATACAGAAAAAAAAAAAAAAAGAAATCATCTATATAGATTCCCTAGCCAGGAAAGCTTCCAGGACTGGTATTGCACTGCCCAGATTTCCATAATCATTTTTTTGGGATGTGAATTAAATTCTTCTGACACTGAGAACAAACCACAATCAGACCTAATAGAGTTGACTGATTTCAGGGTCAGGCCTGTTGACCAGGACAGCTTTAGAGGGATTATGCCTTTTGAGATATATGGCAACCACTACTTTTTCTCATATCCTGTGGACATTCAAGTTTGTTTTAAAAAAATTCAGTCCTCATGTCAGTAACTTTGGAGTCTGAAACCTCCTATGATCACACCACTGAAGAGCTAGATATTAGTTGTAATGTTGATTAAATGTGTTCATAATCATTCATAAATGACTAGGACACTTTAATTGCCTGGAGTCTAAGGCAAATTAGAACTATAGCTCAGCTGCACAAATCTTCAGTTGGAAGGGAAAATAGAAGACTTTTCTTAGATCTTTTCCAATAACTTCATGGTTATTAAGAAGTTTCTTAATATCAACAATATGTTCAGGAAAAATTTAGGTCATTGACCTGGAAATGCATGATTTGGATCTCAAACCCACTAGCGAGGAGAAAGGAGGCTAGAACTTATCAAAAAGTCTTCTACTCACTAAACAATATGCCCTGTGGTTTATTATTTTCCTTTCTTAACCCCTAAAGGAGGCCTCAATATCCCATTTTGATACACAGGGAAGCAGAGGCTTAGAAAGATTCAGTCACTGTAGAGCTCATAGTTGGTGTGTAGCAGAAACCAAGAACTGGCAGCAAAGTCAACATTCTTTCTACTACATCCAGTTACTTTCCTGGGATTGGTTAAGGCCGATCACTTTCTTGGGTCTTAGCCCAACAAATCTGATTCTAAAATGAGAATGAAAACTCTTAGCCTTTTTCAGTCATGAATACATTTGAAACTGGAAAAAAGTTATGGATCTCCTCACCAGAAAAATTAAATACATAATAACCTTGCATGTAATTAATAGGGGTTCGAATACAGTGTTGTCCACCCATGGACCAAGCCAGCTGTCCAAGAATTCCTTGTTAAGAATCCCTTATATGGTAGACATCAAGTGCTTTTTTATAGAGTTCTCACTCCTGTTACCTAATTAATAGTGAACACGGAGAGCCTTGGATTTGTAATCGTCTAATGAACTGATTGTGATGTTCTTTTATTTTAGATAGCCTTAAATCACATCAAATATGAAAGCTCTTTCTAGATATTTCTGAGATCCAATGGAAAGTCACTGCTATTTTCTATCATCATTCCCTAGACTGCACTGTTGTACATCACTACTAATTTTCTTGGGTCAGAACTGAGTGCTGTTTTGAAAAGCTTTTCAACAAGAGCTCTTATGCCAGGTTAAAAAAGAAAATCATTTGGCACATTTTATAATTTCCTTTCCTGAATTATTAAGTGAGGGAATATAAGATTTGACTTTTTTTATAAAGGTGCTAGCTTTTCAATTCTATATCTGAAAGTACTTGTAAGGATGAAATGAGTTAATCTTATATATTTATGAAACACTGCATTTGGTCTGTCACAGTGTGGCTGTTGTCTAAGTCATTTAATCATCTGTATATTTTTCATTCATAACACAGGACTAGTGCTCATATTTTAATTGCTTAACTAGATTTTATAAAGATATACTTTGATTCTTAGGAATTTCTTTGATGTTTAAAAATGTACCAAAATATTTTTTCTAAAAATATAAACATTCTGGATTCCATTTATATATGTTTTGTACAGCAAACATTTTACCTTTTACCCATGCTTTTAAAAATGACTTAAGTCTAACATCTCTCACCTTGCTGAGAGTCTCCAGTGAATTCTCCAGCAGCAACTGAATATCCTGTTTTAAAGAAAAGATAGAAACTAATCACACTTGATGTCGTAAGGATGAGTTATACCTAGAAAAGATGAAAGAGCTACCATGGTACTCTTCTTCTATAAGGGGAACAATCAGTCATGCCAGTGTGAATATTTGCTATTTGCATACTAAATCCTAAAAGCCCTGCTACTACTGATCTTAAGTAGAAATATGTCAAAAAACAATCAGACTCTGAGGTCAATTTTCAGAGCATGAATTCCTTTAAGTGTAAATGGGAGCTGTTGCATTTTAAGAGCTATTGATTCATCATGAATAGGCATCAGGCATCGGGATATCTGGAGGACAACCATTGTACTTAGATTTTGCTATTTCTGATCATCAACATGGCCTATTTCCTCATTCCTTTAATAATGGTTTTCTACAAATTTCACTTAGTTCTACACTGACAAAATATAGCTACTACTTTCTTATTTTCAAATTTATTAAACATCAAAATGCTTAGGATACCAAGGGTAGGAAACAGCAGTGATGAAATGACAGTGTATAGTTTGCACATAATAAAACTTGAGAATATTACAGTACTTGAAAAGTCTCTTGTTGCTGCTCTAAAGAGTAGACAGGGTTATTATCATGTCATCCCCATAGTATTGGTAGTATCCCTGATAAATATTTTATGTGCAAGAACCTATTATGGATCCTACAAAAGAGTTGCTCAAAAACAAGAAAACAGATGCTCAAATTATGTAGGTTATATAGAGTGGCTGAAATAATACTTTTATGTAAAAAGAAAAGAAAGCCTAAAGTAATATGGAAACTTTCATAAGATGCTAAATAACATCAGATAAATCAGAAATAAAATTTGCATGTTCACTTAATCTGTTTGTCTTTTAAGAAACCATAAATATCTTGTGCAGTAGGTCTCACCAAGGTAGCTATCATCGTAGGAAGCTGGAGCCACTTCTGTCTGCTTTTCTCCAGCCAGTTTCCTTAGAATATCTTTGAATGAATAATTTGCAATGATGTCTGCAATACTGGTGGTGATCACCTGACCTGTGTTTAAACAAATTAGTACATTAACTGAATGAATGCAAGAGGCAGCCCCCCATCCTGCCCCACTCGACAAATATGGAACCACACATACTCTCTTGAATGTCATCATGAAATTGCTTGCATTTTTTGATAATTAATTTTCCTGCTTGTCTACCATTAGAACTGCAAGACAGAAGTTGATTACAGCTGGGTCAAACTTTCCATACTGATGGAAGACCAGAGATGAATTAGAATATTTTATCTGTTTTCCTGCTGCTTTCAGCACACATTCTCCCTCTACCTTCAAATGACAAAATGGTCAGAGTGGAGCTAATTGCAGGTGAAATTTACATAACAGAATTTTTATTCTAGAATGTTCTGGCTGGAAGGAAATTTTGAGATCATCTTCCAATTATAGCTTCTTATATATGGGGAAAATGAGGCCCAAAGCTTGCATGCACTCTGTGAAGTCACATTGTTTTGCTAGTAGAATTTTGGCATTACAGTCAAAGTCTTTTTTGGAATTCTAATAATTTTTTTTTATTCTTGCAAAGCATAGGTGTGGTATTAAATCTAAATCACTTATACTCAATTCAGTATAGATATAGAAGTTAAGTTAAAGGATGGAGATAATAATATCTGAGCCATTTACATTTTATGCTAGAGAAAGCATAAAATTATGATAGTAGGAAGAAGTCAGAGAAAAAAGAATCTATAGACATAAATATTGGTATGATGAGAATTTTGGCTAATTTTCCCAAATAAATTCACTCTCATAAGTCTAAAAATATGACTTATATAGTCATAGACAAGTATGTGAAAGACAGTCAGCAATTTTCCCAGTGACATTTCTATGCATTCTCATATTTATTATGGACATCCAAGGCAAAAATAAAACCCAATGCTCCTTTGTAGAGAACTAAAGAAGTACTTTCAAAACTAATGTTTAACATCAACCTTAAAGCCAATTTATTCTTTGGGAACTCACAAGAATAAAACTGTTGAATCAGGCCATAAATATTTCCCAGTGACTGGACTGAAATGACTGTTCTGATATTAAGACAATGGTACTTATATATGAATTTATGAAGAATGTCATAGAATTTGTTAATTTTCTCTGTGCTATAACTCAATACTCCTATCCCTCTCCTTCATACGATGCCTTTGCTTGTTTCCTTTTGCTGGGTCTATAAATGATATGATAGTAAGTCTGTATAAAATTTAAAACTTTGTATCTCAGACATATGCTTCTACATGACTTGCCATGGCTTATTTTTAGTAGATCATTTGTACCAGATATTTTTCCCGCTTGAAGAAAAGAATTATGTGAAATTAACCAAGATTAGAAGAAAATCATTTTAAACATAAATGTAATTTTTATTTCATATCCATATGTTGCATGACATTGTTTCTGTTTGTGAAATCATTTTTAAATGTCACAATGTCATTTATTTGATATTTATAATTATATGTTCATTAAGTTTAATAGCAATTTAATATGAAATTTTATCATAAATACATCTTCCTGGATCATTACCATTGCCTGTTAAATATGGTCAGAAAAAAACCCTCCCTTACCTATTCATCTGACTCACATTATTCTCCATTTTTACTCTAAGCTTTACAGTTAAGATTCAGTCTAAATTTGTACTGTGTTCCCTCTGGGGGCACCCATTTGCACCCATGTCTTCAGTTATTGTCAATATGCCAGTTGTGCAAGTTTCTATTTTACCCTAGATATCTTCCTGGAACTTAAGATTATGTTGCTAAATTATATGTGAAAACTCTTGGACATCCCAATGTTCCAGTTTCCATACTCAATGTGACCAAGAGCAAACTCATCACCCTCTCCAACCCATTCTGACCATGCTCTCTATCTCAGTTAGTGGTACCCAACTACAAACATTCAGCTGGGGAAGTCAGGAGGATGTCCTTGACATCCTCCCTTCCCTCACCACCCTTTATCCAACCTATCATTTAGGTTTGCAAATTTCTCCTCTTTTTCCATCACCGCTCTGAGAAACAAATGTCTTTACCTAAAACTTACAGCAAATTCATTTAAAAAACTTAAGAGTACTTTATAACCTTATAACAACCTTATAAGAGTTTTGCTGATGTTTCACTTTGGCCAACAATCCATTTCCCATGTTGTAGTCAAAGTGCTCATTTCACAACATGAATTTAATCATAATTTCCCAGGCTTCAAACTCTCCAGTGGTTTCCCATTCTTCTGAGGACAAATAGACCATCCTACTCTAGTTAAGCCATCCATTTAAACTCTTTAATTCTACCAGTGGTTTCTCATTGTTTGTAGGATAAAGACAAAGCATGGTCTGCAAGTTCTGCTTGTAGCCATACCACTCTGGCAGCAGTTCCCTTGCTTTGTTAACTTTAATCGCCATGACTTTCTTCCATTCTTTCCTGCACTGCATTGTTTCATGCACAACATTTGCACATAGTCCCTCCTCTCTTCACCTAGGTCACTTCTACTCAAGGTCCAGAACTCATTTCAGGGTTTCTTGCTTCTAAATAAGTTGATCTTTGGGACTCTGCAGCATCTTTGTAAGAATTAGAAGGAGCTATCCCCTTTGGGTGCATGCTGTCTTGTGCCTGGGTTCATGGCTTCTTCGGTAGAGCACAAGTTGTATTCCAACTCCTTGTCAGCCAATGGTCAGAGTGCAAAGCTCTTCTATATGCAGTCACCCTGGAGAAACCATCTGTATTCTCACGACCCCATCATAACTACTGTTCCTTCATGGTGTGTATAATGGATAGAGATTCTTAGGTACTTATGTGACTATTCAATTGATTCTCATATCTTTCGATATTAACCTCAGTGAAGATAAACCCTGGCTGTTTTCACTTGTTATGTCCCCAGTCTGACATAGCCTCAATAAATTCTTGGTGGAGAAATGAATAAGTTGCAGGAATATTTTAAGATATCATTTATATAGAGAAGTATAAGTTGAAATGGTGCTTTATTGATGAAACCATAAATGTAAGTATAATGTTAATGAAATAAAAAGTCAACATTTGATGACTTCGCTTTATCTCCTTAGTAACAACATATGTGATTTTTTTCTCTCCTAACAGAACCTACCTTGCCAGTAAAAACTCCCAGGTCCTCCTACTATAAGGTCTCCATTCTATAAAACAGAAGCAGACACAGGAACAATTATAAAAGAAACACTAAAAATTTTAAAAGGGTGATTAATTATTGCTAATAACCACTACTCTACACAATTTTTTACTCATAAAAATTTTTTTCAAAGAGGTCCTTATATCAAGAGGTCCTAAAAGAGTCCTGCAGGCCATTTTCTTCCCCTTTTTGCTTTTAATTATTTAGTGTTTGTCACATTAAATAATTTTAATTTGACTCAGTCAGGCAAGTTGAAATTCCTTCCTTAGGAATACATAAATTCAGTTTTTTTGGCATTGCCTCTAGTAAGCAAAATATTTACATGTTTAATGCTATCAATTTAGCAGGCATGGTCTTTGTAAAAAGCCTTGGTGATAAAAAAATTCATTCCAATTTTTTCAAGACCATAATAATACCTGTTGCCCCTCCCCCATACATCTGTAAGCCCATTCTTTTCTCAGGAGAGAAAGCAAAAACTCAGACCAGCAAATATAAACAGTTTCTAATCTACCTACTGTCCCATTTTCTGTACCTTATCTGTAAATTTCAGTGGAAAAAAATTAACACAAAACTGAAATTTCTTACAATATTTTCAAAACCATAGAATCTTTGTCCTTCTTATTTGTATAGACATCTCTGTTTTTAAAGTTTTAAAAAAGTATATGAATTTTATATAAATACTAAATCAGACCAGCCAATTATAGATAAGACATAAGAAAGTTCTTCTTTTCATTGTACATCTTTCTGTAATATTTAATAAGTTGTTATGTGCATAGGTTATGTAATTGAAATAAACAGCAATCAGAAAAAAAATTGAGAGAAGTTGCCAGGTATGATGTACCTAAAGTTTCTTTGGTTATTGCTGTAGTTTGGGGAGGGGCATATGGAGTGGGAATGCAAGACAGAGTAAAAATAACAGCAACAAGAAAAAAACATATTAAATACTAGAAGATGCAAAACCAAAAGAATTCACCTTGTAAAAATCCAGACTAAATCCTGCTTGGCAGTAACCCTGGCCTTCAGGATCGGCATTGCCTGGAATGGTCAGAACATATCAATGTTATAATATCATTTCTAAGCTATATATTTTAACAACCAATTCAAGATATTCTGTTATTTTCTGTGCAGACTTCCTAAGTTTAAAATGATCAATATGTGTTTTATATTTGAAAAATTCACTCTAAGTAATTTATGAAATACATTTCTATGTGTTTTCTTATCCCAAATATCATTGTGATTCTACCCAATGATCAACAGGATTAATGTTCTTTTGGGTTATTATATTGGAATTATTGAACACATCAAGCACTAACTATTCTACATTTAGGGCTTTTATCAGAGAACAAAAGTTTATTTTGATCTTTACAACTCATATTCATTAGAAGAAATAAAATCTCCAAGTTTCAACTGTGTTCCAAATTAGACAGGTGGCAGTAATGTCTCTTTTTGTCCATCCCTTCTAATACATCGATCATTCCTACCAGGTGATGGCTTGAGACATGTCATCTATGTGCATGCTGGATGCACTGGAGGCACCGACAAAGATTTCTATTTTTATGCTCTTTAATAGCAACTTAGTCATAAGTTGTCTCATTAGGTAAGTTAGGTAAATTAGGAAATTACATTTGTGATTGTAATGACTTTCGCAGGAACATAATGTTCACAAAAGGGACATAATTATTCACAAAATAGATGGCTTATTTTTATTCTATCCAATGTAATTCACTCACTGAACGTCCAACAGAATCTCACATATATTTTTAGAAACTATACATATACATTCTAAGGTTATGTTACCAAAATCTTTAGGGCTATAGGATCAGGAATTTACTACTTACAACATATTTGAAAGAGCTCCTTTCATTTCTAAGGGCCTAAATTATAGCTAAAATGTAGTTAAGTAGGGGGAATGTCAATTGTTATATATTAGACAAGAACATGGTAATAATTACTTATTTCTTATCAAGAATATGACAAATGAAAATTAAAATGAGAGGGGAGGAAAGAAAATGAACACCATCACAGGAAATGTTTATAGGCTGAGTGGAGCCTGTTCTAGAAGCTTTTTGAAATGGATCTGGTCCTTCCAGGTCTCTCTTGTATTTTTTTTCCTTTCCTTTGGTCAGTACTTACCTAATTTTAACATTGTCATCAATTCTTTCCAGATGTTCCCTTCATTTTTAAAAATACCTTTCTACTTCATATAGTGTATTTTAACAAAATTTCATCGTTTTTTCACAACTATATATTGTGGTTTATGGTTATGAATTTTATAAAATTCCCTGAAATCTCATCTGTGTAGCTTCAAATGTCAGGATCCTAGTCGTCTAGAAGTTCATGAATGTAACTATTTATATGCAACCAGAAATATATGAGAATACATATTACTATGCAAACCTATCTGTATTACATTGAGTATATTTAATAAATGCATTTTAAGCACACCAATCTTTTTAAATCAGTGTTTTTATATTTTTAATATTTTAAATTATTTAAAAGGGAAGAAACATGACCATTCTTTGAAGTTGCTTCATTTTAAGACAGGAAACTGCAAAATTTAAGAGAGAATACTAAAAAATTCATTGAGAAAATAACCAACTTCAAATGTTTCTTTTGAGTGGCAATTATAGTAGACTGTGAGGTTATTTCCTCTACAAAGCCATTTCTTTTTTCTCATTGAATTGTAAATTATGGGAGCTAAAGAAATCTTTCTTCTTAGAACTTCAGAGCATCTCTGAACTTTATAACTATGCCCCAGAGTGAACTCAGGAACCCAGGGTTGTAGGCTGTTCATTCACTAATATTTGTTGATTTCCAGAGTAAAAATTGAAGGTGTGTGCGAAATGTCCTCACCTGAATTCTGAATGAGCATCAGAGTCAAAGACATGTCATTAATACGAATGAGCAAGTTACCTCCCACACTGATCACAGTATCCATGGAGTGGGTTTGTGCTATAGAATTAACATAAAGTGCTTTTTTAAGTTCTCTTTTGAAAATAATATCATTTGATATTCCTGTTCTGTGATAGCGACCATATGCTCATGAACAAGCTAGCTTTGTTTTACTGAACTGTGAACTTTTTAGCCATGACAGGAAGTCTGCTCTTTGGATGATTTGAAGAGGAAGAAGTACAAGTAAGAACAGGGAACCCATGAGTGTGTGGAAACTGCGGATATATGCTAGAACCAAAGCAATCCTTGGCAATTTGTTTACTATACCGCAACTCAACCTGAGCTCTATTTTGCCTTTGCTGGGCTATATTTCTACTTAGGAAAATAAATAGCAAATAAGTTAGCATCACAATGTGCCCCAGGAACCCATCATGCACATTATGGAAGATGGTTCAAACTTGTCTATATTTAATTATTTCAGTCTGAGCTCTCACATCACACAGACAGTCAGGCAAAAGGGCAGAACAAGAAGCAGTAACAAGCTTTACAAATGATCATCCACAATGTTATTTGGAGGAACACAATATGTCATTAAGGCGAAAGTCATATGAAGGATAGGCTTGTCATTTTAGTTGCACTAGTTTGCTGTTTGGGGTAAGCATCATTAGCACTCCTGTCCATCATGAAAAGTGTGATATGCGCACATATAAACATGGATGAAGCAAGTTCAATTTGTCTTTAGCATCAGAATAGTGACCTCTTCCCAAACCCCAGAGCCAAGAACTTTGGATGGATTGTGACCCAAGCTATGCCTCTCTTTAATTGATGTCTGTGTCCAAGGGCTCTCCCTTCCCCTCCCCACTCCAACTGTCATTTGCTAAAAGAATCTCTTCCTATCACCTGAACAAAGAGCTCCCTTCTTCCTGTCCCCACAGGCTCAGATCGCACATTCCTCGCTTGCATTGCTATATTTTTCTTAGCAGTATTGTCACTACCTGATATTATATTATGAACTTACTTAAGGTTTTGCCTATCTCGCTCACCAAAATGTTAGTTCATGGGAAACAGGAGGCCCTGTTTTCTCTTGTTCTTTGTTGTGTTCCCTAAATGTAGAATAATTATTGCCAGTACAATAAACAAGTATTTAAAGAATAGGTAACTGAGTGTAATTACTTATAAAGAATCTTCATTTTAAAGGTATTTAAAATAAAGTCCTTATTTTACAGACTGTTCATTTGGCTGACACTGAGAAACTCATGAGCTTCTCTTTGCCAAAATCTCCATCAAAACCCACCAGAGGTGAAAAGTTCCATTCTCAATTCTTTGGAGCTTTAAATTTCAGCAGCTTCTTTGTTAACCTTCAAATGTCCCTGTTCCATTTTTTTGTCTTCATTATTTATTTCTGATATTTGCTCATTATCTTCCCTAAATTAATCTTGAATTTAAAATTATTTATGTAGAATGGGGGAACTTGTATTTTTAAGGATCAAACTAATTGCAGGTTGAGTTTTTTAAAAATCAATATCCTGAAATCAATATCACTAGAATGTTCTTTCTAGTGATATTTCTCCTACTACCACCATGTGTTTTTGTGAATTGTTGAGAATAAGAACGGAAATTCATTGGTTGTTTATCCACAAATCCCATTGATGTACTTGGCACTTGGAGAAGTTCATAAAAGAGCTCTGAACAAAAAAGCAATCAGCCAATTGATCAATCATTATTCCAAAGTCCTTGGGGATTCCACAAACATGAAGCAATTAAATAGCAATTCCCCAAGGATGGCACTCATAGGCTTACTTTACAGGGTGCTTTGCTGGAAGAGCACTTGAACTGTACACTTGCACCCCAAGTGTACAGAATCATTTTGGGAGAATAAGGGGTGACTCTCCATGGTAAGCAGAAAGGTATATCATGAACAACCCAAGGCGACTGCCACCAAACAAAGCAGCTGTCATTGAGAACACAGCCAGACTAAATGCTCAAGTCAGTTGTGCTCAGGTCTATGCACACTAGCTAACACCTTTCCTGCCATGAAAAAGCGAATTGGACAGTCAAAATTCATTAGAACACAGACTAATGAATTTTTTGTACATTTCAGCCACAACTGACAGTGTAAGACTATCAATTTCACTGAAGAATCTCTAAAATCCGAATTTAGAAAACATGGAAGAGGATCAGCAAAATTCTGAGTCTTGGCCCTACTATCACAGCAAGACATCCTGTAAAGCTGTCAATACCCTCAGCTCTTTTCCTCATAACTCATCAGTGGTGTTTCAAGCTCATCCATGCTTCTGTCTACAGTAGAAAAGCTCTTCAGCTAAATTCCGGTCTCAAGGAATAAAAATAACTTACTGTTCCTACAAGGAGAATACTCAGCATATGCACTGAAATTTTGAATTGCTACATAGCAAGTGCCAACTGGGTCCTTTTCTGGTGTTGGTTTTAGAGTTCTCCAGTGATACAGAGGAGCACAAGCCTATAAAACATCAAAAACAGTAAATATATTTTCAATGTAGGTTTCTCACATAATAGCTTGATTTGAATTATAGATTAGTATACTTAAAGTTATCACAAACTATGTTACATTATTAGGTGAATTAATTGGCCTCTGTAGTCAGAGTCAAACTTCTAAAAGCAATTTTTAACATTAGTACATAGTGAAACTAACAAAATTTAAACATGTTCAAAGAATGTGACCCCCTGATAATATCTGAAGTGCAATAAAAGTAACCTGGCAAAAGAAAATTACTTCCTACAAGCAAAGAACCCATATTTTCTCTCTCCCCCCCTTAAAAAAATCTATTAGACCTGCATAAAAGCAAATAAATAGTGAGTGAATCAGAGTGATGTCTTAAAATGAGAATTAGTTCCTTTATTTGCTAATTGTTCCTTTATTTATCTAATTGTTCTAAAAAGTACTTTCAAATCAAAGGATGCAGAAAAGTTTATAAACTTCCATTTTGTGGATTCCTCTAGTTTATCACTGAAGTATCTTATGAATTTTTAAATGACTTTGTGGTAAGGGGAAAAACTCATTTTCACTTTATGGTATTTGTTCATAGCAAAACCGAAGGCAAAAGAGCATTTTATGCTGGTTTTAGCAATTTTATGAGATGATCAGGAAGTCATTCCAAGAGCACGTTACTGACTCATAAGCATTTCTGAGGCATTGAGACTAGATGTGAGGCAACTCAATACTTTTACTCTCTTTGCTATGGGGAAGTTTATTCTGACACACTAAAGACCTCAGACAACCTTCCAGAGGGAAATGAGTAGCCCAAGTAACCCCACAAATATGTTTTCAATTGTAAGAGGGCAACTCCCCGAAGTGTTAAATATGAACTGTTCCATGTTTATTTCTAGCTAACCTACAGAAGGTGAAGTAATGCAGCCCTAGTCATACTATGCAACTTCTGCTCAGACTGGTGCCTCCTTTAGAACTTATTCAATTGCCAATAGCACATAATACAGACATTTGCATGTAAAATTCACTTATAAATGTGTGTTGACTTAAATGCATGCCCACGAGATAGACATTGAAACATAATTTGACAATACCAAATTGTTACACATTAGTTGTTATATCTTTGTTGTTATGATATATAATTCATCATATCAGATACTTATTTGATGCCTTGCTCACACCTTCCAATGTTATCTGGAGAAAATAAGATATACTCATTACATTCTACCTTGTGATGCCATTTCTAGGAATATCTTAATGTGTAAAGATGGAACTGCTTCTAAATAAGCTTGTCTAATATCAGGAATTTTGCCAGCAAAAATTAATTTAACCATGGGCAGGACATGGTCATACACTTCCAGCTACTTGGGAGATGGAGACAGAAAGATCTGGTTCAAAGCCAGCTGGGTAAAAAGTGTCAGTGAGAGCCTGTCTCAAAATAAGCTGGGAGTGGTATGTACGTGCCTGTAATCCCAGTTACTAGGGAGGTGAAAGGTAGGAGGATCACAGTCTGAGGCTGGCCTGGTCAAAAGTGCAGTGTGAGTTCTTATCTGAAAACAACACTAGAAGCAAAAAGGACTGAGGTGTTGCTCAAGTAGCAGTGCAAGTACAAGACCTGGAGTTCAAGCCCCACTGCCACAAAATTATAATCATAATAACAATACCCTAATAATAACAGTAAGAAAAACATAATTTCATGACATGCTCTTGTTTCTTCTTTAGAAACTTAGATTATAACAAGAGCATGGTATTTAAAAGTTAGATATGAAATTCTATTTAAATTGAATAACATTATTTTCGTAGAGATGGTGATGATTTTTTTGGCTCCTGTTTTCTAGCTTGAAGTCTCTGTGTGTTTTACCTGGTTGTCCAAGCCATCATCTCTAGAGACACAGAACTCTGGAATCCTATACTAGCTAGCTACTAGCCTATCTTCTAATTTGATGAGAAGTAAATACAGAGCCTGACTTTAAAATCATTTTATGCTTCAGAATGTCCTTGGAAATCGAGTCCAATGTATAATGACTTTTAGTAAAGATAACCCATATCCTCAAGAAAACCACTCTACTACAACTTCAGTTTTTTTGGTTTTATCTTTCTATAGTCTTTGCCAAAGACCCAAAACACTCTCTAAGCCATCCAGATTCCTTTATCGTTGGGCCTCTTGGTGAAGTGATAAGTTACCTCACTGATGAATTCAACATCAGGGGTAAATGGTGAAGTACAAGGGGGAGTCTGGATAGTCCAACATTCACCTGTGCCCTTGATATCATCTACTGGCCTCATCTCTGTCTCACCAAATGAAATTTAATGCCAGTAACATTCTTTCCAGTGTTTTCCTTTTGTCAGCTCTAAAATGTTACCTTTTTCATATCTGCTAGTGTCATTCTGATATGAAACACACACAGATGTGATATGCTTAGGCTTTGATTCAAATCTGATATGTACACACATGATACCTGCATACTCAACATGTTATTTCTTTAGGCAGCATTTTACAGTTTTAATAACTATCTCACATAGGGTAGAATTCTTCATTCTGCTAAGTTTCAACACTCAAAAAGTACAGATTAACTTGAAATACACCTTACATTATCATATTTTCCATTATATAACTTAGAAAATCCAAGAATACTGGAAAATTTTATTACAAACATATTGCATTATTATTTTGTCAAGAGTTTTGAAGGTTTCTACAAATATTGGGTTAGTGTGTAACATAATTTTTCACAGCTTAAAAAATTAATACAGTACCCCAAAGATTTTTTGAACCTCAAAACAGTGATTAGGATGGAACTAGCTTTTGCATATATCCCACAAGCTACACCTCACTGGAGAATAAAAAAGATCTTACCAACTCTGGAATAAAACTATACTAATGCAAATATAATTCTGCAAGGAATAAATTGAAAATGCTGGGTTTCTAACTAGGGAGGGTAATCTATATTTTACATCTCACCTATTTTATATCAAAATCTCTTGGGGGTTAACCACAGACTAAGTAAAAGTAATCATCTGTGTTAGATACTTATAAATCATAGTTCAAATTGCTTTAAACAAATTAATGAACTCAGAGAATCAGAAATCTAGTAGTTTTAAAATTATTACTATGAAAGGACACTTTCCTTTTGTTCTAAAAAAATCAATGGTACTACAGTAGATTGACTGTTTAAACATCCCGAGGGTAGTAATCCTATTTTTCTTGACAAAATTTAAGCAGCCTTTTAAATCAATCTTAAGCAATAAAATATTTAACTCCTTAAGATGTAACTTTTAATTTTTCATTTTTCTTAGTCATTTTTGAAATATTGGAAAATATCTAACTGATCTAAAAAACAAGCTTCATTTCCTATAGCTTTGAACACGAAAATAGATTCTTCAGATTTTAAGCACTGAATTTCTTTAAAATGTCAATAAGCTTATCTTTGAAAATCTAGCATGTTCTTGTATAAAAGAGTTTTTCTAAATATGAGCATTAGAACATTTTAGGGTACTAGGATTCCAAAGCAGCACCACACCACACAGTTCATACTCACCACGACTTTTCCTTTGTGAGCTTTTACTGTTGCTCCAAACCATTGGTTTGATTTATACTCTATAGGTTCCTTAGTTCCATTAACTCTGATCTTCCTGTTGTCTGACAAGGAGGATATAAATTATTAATAGTCTATAAAATGTGGCAGTCAATTAAAACACATAGTAATAAACATGGACACTAAAAATACCGGAAGAACTAATAGCAATCCTTCCTAAAAAGTTGAAGAGGGTTAAATAGTTCTAAGGGTCAGTATTAACCTGATACTAAAGGCAGATAAGGACATACAAGAAAAGAAAATTACAGGCTAATATCCCTGATGAACATAGATGCAAACATCCTCGATGAAATAATAGCATCTTGAATTCAGTAGCACATTTAAGATACCCATTCACCATAACTATGCGAGATGCAAGGATGGGTTAGCACATGCAAAACAATAAACGTTGTAAATAAACATGATATCATCTCAATAGACACAGACAAAGATTTGGCAATATTCAACAACCTTTCATGATTAAAAACGCTCATCAAATAAAATATAGAAGAAACATACCTCAAAACAACAGAGGCCATATATCACAAGCTAACATCACACTTAATGGTGAAAATTTAAAACACTTTCCTCCAAGGTCAGGAATAAGACAAGGATATGCATTCTTGACACTTGTATTAAACATAACATTGGAAGTCCTAACCAGAGCAATTGGTCAAGAAAAAGAAATAAAAGGCACCTAAATCAGAAAGGAAGAAAATACATTGTCTCTCTTTACAGATGACATGGTTACCTTAGTAAGAAAGAATACTATTATAAAGGCTGAAGGAATAAGAGCTGGTGAAGAGCTGGAGGAAAAGGAGTCCTTTACACACTACTGTGGGAATGTAAATTAGTACAGCCATTATGGAAAACAGTATGGAGGTTCTTTAAAAAATAAAAAATAGAATCAACGCATGATCTGGTGATTCTAGTTCTGAGTATATATCCAAAGGAAATGAAATCAGTATGTAAAAGAGATATCCCCATGTCATGTTCATTTAATTATTCACAATAGCCAGGATATGGGATCATTTTCAGTGTCTATCAATGGATGGATGGATAAAGAAAATGTTTGATATATGCAAGAGAATAGATTTGGCCATAAAAAGGAGAGCCTGTCATTTGTGACATGAATGAACGTGAAGTACATAATACTAAGTAACAAAATACTGCCCAATCTCACTTATGTGGAATCTAGAAAAGAAAGTTCAACTCATAAAAGCAGAGAGTAGAATGATGGTTACCCGAAGCTACTGGAGAAGTGGAGATGGAGAATGTTGTTGAACAGGTAAAAAGCTTCAGTTAGGCCTGGTGCCAGTGTCTCACACCTGTAATCCCAGCTACTCAGGAGGCAGAGAGCAGGAGGATCATGGGTTTGAAGCCAGAACTAGGCAAATAGTTTATGAGACCCTATTTTGAAAAAGTCCATTACAAAAGAGGGCTGGTGGAGTGGCTCAAGAGATAAGAGCACCTGTCCAGCAAGGGTGAAGCCCTGAGTTTTAGCATGGTGACAACAGCTACTAGTAATATATTATAAACTTGAACATTACTGAGATAAGATTTTTTTTTCGGCAGTGCTGGGATCAAACCTATAACCTATGGCCTTACACTGTACCACTGAGCTACATCCTCAGTTCAGAAAGTAGACTTTAAATGTTCTCAACACAGGTAATTGTTAGGTGATAGATGTATTAATTGGCTTGATTTAATTGCTCCAAAGTGTATACATATGTCAAAAGAACCTGTCATATAACATAAATATATTTCATTTTTATTTATCAATTTAAATATACTTGAAATTAATTCTCACCCACCAGGGGATTTCTCTTTAACAAAGCCTAAGCTAAGACTTTCATTAGCTAAATAAAAAATGAAAATAGGTATGTAACATTTCACAACTTAAAATAAGAAATTTTTTATGTTTTATGTTCCAAAAATAGCAATACCCATAAACTTACTATACTATATAGTTATTGTGGATTTTGATAGTCTTGAATCTGTACTTCAGCTGTATATTTGTTCCAGATAGGAGACCAAACAACTATAATTGCTTTAAAGAATTCTGAATCTGTTCCAATAGTGATACATAGAAGTTTCTCTCTGATCCGAAAAGCACAAGGTTTCTCAGCAAGACTCCAAGGTCTTGGTTTTTAAGTGAGTAACATGTGTCCACACAGCCACTGGAGATAAAGCCCCAACATGGTGTTGCACACCCTTTGCAGATGTCAGCGCAAGAGGGGCCAGCTGGGGAGAAACTCAACCCAATTATAACACAATTCAGGTCTTAATCAGAAGCAGAGGTCTTTTCTTTCATTCTTGGTTTCCAGTCAACTTACTTCCCATCTGTCCTGTTCTAACAGGAGCTCCATCAGTAATAGCTAAAGAATTTCTAAATACTAGACTATCTTATGTATGTTTCCTTTCATATCTATTATATTTTTCTTCTTGGCTCACTAATACATTATAAAGTGACCTTTTAGCTCCTATTAGGTAAGGCCAAAATAAACATAATTAAACCTTCACTTGAGTTTACTTATGATTACAGACTTTTAAAATAATTCATTATGTATACTTAATTTGAACCTAAAATTTATATTTTGACATGTTAATAGAAAATAGTTAATTTCCTTCTTAAAAATCTTGTGCTTTTGATGTTTCTGGACTTTTTTTTAAAGTACATTATATACATGTATGAAAAGGTCACAATGCAACCCGTTATTTTGTAAAATCAATATACACTAATTTAAAAGTGCATAGAAAAAAAGGCAAGTTCTGGAAATCCTCACCCAATGTGTACACTACTGGCAAAGAATTACAGCATCTTATGGCTTACAGCCTAAAATGGAAAATATAAACATTTCTATTTACATCTAGGAAGCTTGGTTGATTATAGAATGCAAAGCTAAAGGATCTTACAATCATTAACTAGTTGATTTTGGGAGATTCATTCAATCTACTGGAGTTTTAAATTATTCTCTAAAATGAGGATGAGAACACCTTCTTCCACTCCTCCTTCACAGGAACTCATAAAAAACAGAAATCTCATAGCAATTCACTCCTTAGACAACACCCCTTAATTACAAACCTGGAAATTCAACATTATTCTGAGAACTGGAAGGGACCACACACACACACACAGACATACACACAATAGATTATTATTAGTGATTTGTGGCACTCAGGATGAAATTAGTGACATCTCATGATTATCAATATGGCTTTGATTAAGCATGGGGTGAGAGGAATCCTACAGTGGCTTTGAAATTTCTAAATTGCTAACCAACTAAAAAGTCATGGAAAGAAGAGTGGCAGCTCAAAAATTCAAACATAGTTTTAGTTAAAGGAGATCCCCCAAAGTACCTATGAAAAGCAGATTTCTGTGAGGAAGGAAATGAATTATAGGGGAGACAGATGCCAGTTCTGAGCTGGACCTTTTTGTCAGATTAAACAATGTGATAATTCTACCTGGTTGGTTCTTGAGGCATCTTTTTTGCTACTTTAGGTTGAATTATGTAGTAACTTCATTGAGAGAACAAAATATGGTTGCTTTTCAGCAATTTTCTGGATGAATACTACAAATGAATGGAATTCATTAATTCTATACCTAGTCCAAAGCACATAATTGAGAATTTCACTGTCCCAGGCTGCAATTCACTAAAATCCGTTTGGATCTAGGTGTATCATTCTTTCATTGAAATCCATTATCACCTTTTTAAAATTCTGCTTTATTATTTTCTGGCTTTTAATCTAACACTGTAGTTTTGTAGTATTTCAGATAAGTAAGATAGATTTGGCTTGATGGTGAAAGTGAGCTTCCTCTATTTTCTCCCCTTCCTTTTCTGAATGAGATTCTTCCATACCAACTAACCCACAGGGTGTTCTACTCTCTGTGGGTTAATGGGGCTCAATAAATTTTTGAGGCATGGAGGATGCTTGTGATTTACTTTGATGTGACCTTTACCAAACTAACTCCCAGACTGTATCTATCAATACTCAGCACTGTATCTCGCCCTCTAAGCTCTCCTCTGTATGGTAGAAGCTGAAAGCCAAGAAAATACATTTCCAGGACTCTCTTGTAAGCAGGATTGTGGATGAATGAGACGCTCAAGGGAACTTTGGTTCCAGGGCAGAAGAGAGAAGTTGCTAATTTCTGGTGGGAGCTATAGACAGGCACATGGGCCTTAGTGGTGACAGAATTGATGCTCTCTCATCAGTTCCCAAACATCTTCCTGCAAATCATGTCTTTGGTGTTCCTTGGGCAGCTAAGATCATGTCCTGTGATCCTAAACTGCCAAATTCCTTGATCTGTAGAGACTTCCTGACCTTCACACTTTACCCTTTCCCAAGTCCTTGTGAGTGTCAATCTCTATGAAATTCCTCCTTAGTGATGACAATCAAAGTGGGTTCTATTGTCCTAAACAAACCCAAACCCTAGTAGGTGCACTGATGACATGGGATAAAGCATTTAGGGCAAGCTACATGTCCTCTTGCAGCAGAAGAAAGGCATCTGGCTACCCCAGGGTATTGTCAAGTCCACCAAACTCCTGAGAAAGAACAGTGGCTCTGAGAGATGGTGGGGACAGTTGGGAGCCTAAGAAAATATCTAGTTAGTATATCGCAAACTACAGAGGAAGCTAAGTCCAAAGTTACAAAAAGCTTTTGAAGTGTCTGCATGCAATTTAAAGTTTTCTAAGTGCCAGAACACTATTTATAAAGTTAATAAATAAGTGAAAATCCCAGTGAATTTTTTTTCAAGTAAAGGATCAAGTCTGGGCATGGTGGTACTGTTGCAATCACAGCTACTTGGGAGGTAGAGGTAGAAGAATCACATTCCAAGGCTAGCCCAGGCAAAAGTAAGACCCTACCTATATGATAAACAAAAAGAAAAAGGATTGGAGGCATGGCTCAAGTGGCAGGGTCCTAAGTTCAAACTCTAGTTACCCCACAAAAAGGAAAGAAAAAGATGAGAAAATATCAATATATTTAATATATAAAGAGCTCCCAAATCAGTTCAAAACATTCAATAGAAAAAAATGTGTTAAGGACCTGAACAGTCTTTGCAGGG